TGCATATGCTTTCTCAAGATGGCCAAATTATTAAGTAAAATTTTGTCCTAGGAGCGATTACTTTTTAAAAAGAGTTGTCCTTACTGTATTTTCTAGTTAGAAATAACACCAAATTAAAATCGCATTTTGTACGTGTCATTTCCGCTACATGATTTGTTCCAAGGTTTTTATTTCAGTTTGATTTTTATTTTATTTTTTATTTTTTGTTTGTTGATAATAAAGTTTGTCCACCCATGCATACTTAGATCAAAATCATGTTTCGGAGCAAATTTGTAGTCAAAGTCTCTGTGCACCAAGGCTATGGGCTCCAAAAAAAGGAGAAAAATCATAGGCAACTGCTAAGTTGGACAATTCAACGCCAGCAAAAGAAGGGAAACAATGAAAGAGTGGCCCACCGAAGACAGTATCTTGTAGCACAAAAATTCAGTGAAAGCTTAGGGCTTGTTTTGAAGTTCGGAAAAAAAAAATAAAAAAATTTGTTCAAAAAATTTGCTTCATTAAGTTTGGCCCACCGAAGACAATATCTTGTAGCACAAAAATTCGGTGAAAGTTGAGGGCTTGTTTTGTAGTTCGGAAAAAAAATAATAATAATAATTTGTTCAAAAAATTTGCTTCATTAAGTTTTTTTTATAACTGTTTTATAAGAACTTATAAAAAATATTTTTTCAGATAATTATCTTTTATAATTATTTAAAATTTTTGTTTTGTTTTGTTTTTTTGAGACATATTTTTAGAATTATAAACCAAGCACGTTCAAAGATTTTTTATTTTTTATTTTTTATTTTTTATTTTTTTTTAATATTTTCAAAATTATAAGCCAAACAGACTTTTATACTCATATTCCACACGTTAAGATAATAAGCATTTTACTTTCAAGCCTTCAAGTTTATAAACATGCATCTAAATCATTTTTAAATGTGTAATTTCTTGCCAAAAAAAAATAATTAACTTTCTAATAAATTTATGACAACTTATTAGAAAAATATAATTCTAAACAAACATTTAATAATCAGAATCACTAATTTTCTTAATTTTGTTATTAAAATTTTAAATTATCATAAAAAATAGAAATGAATAGATCAAACTTTAATTAGTAGTAGAACACATATTATATATTTATTACTAATCCGATGGTTCAGCTTTTAAATGTCTTTCGCAATTTGTTCATAGGGACACTTTGAATGCTACCTCCCTGCGTTTAACAACTAACCTTGTGTTAGAGAGGTTTAGAGAGGTTTCTCTCACATAAAATTTAAATGAAAAATAAATAGAATTTATATGGGTGGACATGTACTATTACCCAATAATTTAAACTTATAGGTAAAAAACAACGCCTTCACAGTCTAGTGGTTGGATTACAAACCCATATAAAGTCACAACCGAAATTGCAAATTTCCAATAAAAGAGTGAGAGTTTAAAATTAAAAAAAAAAAAATGTTACTAGATTAGGGCTGGTAGCTAAAGTTCCATTAGTTTTACTAATGAACTTTTCTAGGGTTTAACAAAGAGGTTCCACTCAGCAACGGAGCTACCAAATGGTTAATCTGGATTATAAGCTATAGCCCAGTCCTAAAAAAAAAATTTAGTATTACTGTACGTTAATTCACGGTTCAATCCACATGCGGTACTAGTCATTTTCTTAACTCGGTCCATATATAATATTATTCTTTATTTTAGTCCAATCATGGTTCATGTCAATGGTGGGTTGCCTTGAGAAGTGGGCTTTTTACTTGTTCCATTTTGGTTGGTCTATATTTCCTATAGGTGGTCCCACCACTTTACTATTTTGCATTGGGTTAGCTTCATGTGTGGTCCATGTGGGTACACCAACCGTCCTCCAAAGAACGGACGTTAATTGGCAGATGTGGAGCCCACTATCCTGCCACTTCGCAAACCAAAGGAGACGTCAAATTTTAACCTTTTTTTTTGTTTTTTTTGACCCAAACAGATAAGAAAAAAAACACACCTGCAACAATCTAAGAGTATTTTTCCCTGTTATTCAGTTCATTGTGTGTTATTACATTATTTATATAATTTATTTATTTATTCTATTACGATGTAATGAGTTGTACTAACGACATACTAACTACATGGCGTTGTAATCTCATCTATGAATTTCATATTTTATATGAATATGCCCTCTAATTTCTCATAGATTAGACCCGATTAGTTGAAGATTGATTTATATTAGTAGCAAAGATGGTAAGGCTGATGTATGAAGAAAGGTTTGTCCAATTCATTTTCTCTAAATATGAAGGAGTTTGTTCTAGAATTTTAAGATACATGAATCATCAAATTTAATTGTACTTTTAAAAGTTAAATTTGAAAATTAGAAGTTCAAAAAAATTATTGAGAGGCTGAATCAATTACAATTGGATATCTATTTTTCAATTCATTCAGGTGCATTCTGCTGCATGGAATATGAGTCTTTGGAATTGGAATTGGTATTTGAAAAAATTTTGGTTCAATTTTCTTAATTATTTTTTTCAAATTCCACCAATTTCAAATCCAAAACTTCAATTTTTTACGCCGAACACATCCTAATGTTTATCAAATGACGAGCCCTGAATTTACATAAGAGCCCTGAATTTAAATTAGCAGTAAACACGAGACTTTGAACCTATGCCCAATTCATTCCTTTGCTAATCTCATAGTTATTTCAGTTAGGGTTTCCTTGTATTTCATAATGTGTTGATATTAAAAATTTGGCTACCCAGCCAAAACTTGTTTCCAAATGAGGCTTTCGAGATAATCTAAATTAACAATTCACAAAGAAAAATAAAATTCGCAAGAAAAATAGGGATTAATGCAACTCAAGGCCTAATCAAATAAAGACCAAAGTATTATTCAACTTGAATGGACAAGGGAAAAAATAATGTTAAAGAAATAAAATAAAATAAAAAATCAATAATAGTAATAACCAATAAATTATTTGATAAGATATTCTTGACTTTGGGGTCAAGCCATAGTGCATTTCAGCATTAAAAGAGAAGATATGGCTTATGAGAGATTGAATTGTGAAATTCACCAAACAATTAAAAGCTGACAAGTGATAATAACGTAGATTATTATTTCATACTTTTCTCAAATTTCACTAATTTTAAATTCAAAACTTCATTTACATACACCGAACACATCCTTATGTTTATCAAATGGGGAGTACCCTGTATTTACATAAACAGTAAACATGAGACTTTCAACCTATGTCCAATTCATTCCCTTGCTAATCCCATTTATTTCAATTAGGGTTTCTTTTTTGTATTTCATAATGTGTTATGTTAAAAATTTGGCTACCCAGCCAAAACTTGTCTCCAAATGAGGTTTTCAAGATAATCTGAAATTACAATTCACAAAGAAAAATAAAATTCACAAGAAAAATTGGGAGTAAAGCAACTCAAGGCCTAATCAAATAAGGACTCGGAGTATTATTCAACTTGAATGAACAAGAGAAAAAATAATGTTAAAGAAACAAAATAAAATAAAAAATCAATAATGGTAATAATCAATAAATTGTTTGATAAGATATTGTTGACTTTGGGGTCAAGCCATAGTGCATTTCAGCATCAAAAGAGAAGATATGAGAGATTGAATTGTGAAAATTTACCTAACAATTAAAAGCAAACAATAACGATTGATTATTATTCTATGTGGTATAATGTCTCCTGCGGAAATGAGGAAGAATTTGTGCGTGTCTTTGTGAGTATTTACGTAATAGTGATGGAACATAAATTAAATTCAAAATTATTTGGGAAGATATTTTTGATTTGATGTCAAGACGTTGAGTCTTTCTGTAACAAAAGTCGAGGGATCCGGGAGTGAAATTCGAGACAGGTAACAACTCAAGGCTGACAGATAAGTAATGGAAAAATGATGGATAACAACTCCTATGCATGTCTCAAATTTCAGTCTTGTATCCCTTGACTTTTGGTAAAGTGAAATTTGAGACATGCACGGGTAACAACTCGAAGCTGACAGATAAGTAATAGAAAAATGAAGAAAAATAAAATGAACTTGAAATTATTTGACAAGATATATTTAAACTTGGTCAAGCCATAGGACTATAGGAGTAAAGCCACGTACCCTTTCTGCATCATAAGTGAAGACTATGAAGGGATAAAAATTTTAGACTAGTAAAACTTGTGACCGTGCCTGGCAAAATATACTCAAACTCAAATATTTTTTCTAAATCTGTTTAATAATTAATGATTATTGGAGTGAGTAGTGTAGTTGAATGGGTTACTAATGGATTATTCAGTTATAAATAATATATATCTTGTGGATTAGTAGCCCTTTAAGAGTGGGTACCTGCTCCCAACCCATCACATGATCCTTTTTTAAAATATATATATGGAGGGAAAAATTTCCCTCCAATAAAAATGAGACACGTCACCATTATACAAATCTGCATTTTGGAGATCTCAGAAGTCCATCCAGATCAAGTCCAAGTTACGCTGTGCTTTAACTCATTATCATTTATGTTGAGCTTCCGAAGCCAGACAAAAGTACCGATCAGCCCAACGCCATCGCTGTTAGAGTTTTGATCCATTAGTCAAGTCACTTACACCAAACCACATCCGGCCTAAGTATAATTAAATATGGCTCAGTCCTATTTAACAAAGGAGTCAACCCGAAAGGAAAGTTTTTATACAAAACAAATTCTACATAGGAAATATCATACAATGGAAAAAACTCTATTTGTAAAGTAAGTCATATATGGAAAGAATTGGAGGACAAGTAACGCGAGTCCTACCATAATTCTACCAACTTTTGTGTATAAATAGAGGCCAAGACCTCCAATAAAGAAAAAAACAATTCAATTCTTCAATAGACACTGCTCTTGTTTATTTTGATTGTTTGTTTGAGTGTGTTGTATTATTTTCTCTCGATCGTAATTAGTTGGGCCAAATTTTGCACTTACACTTTGGAGCCGTCTGTGGGAATCGTGTGCAAATATATTCCCACTCTTGTTTCACAGGTGAATCTTGCAACTACCATCCAGAATGTCGAACGGAGGATCTTCAACGGATCAACAGACGGAGTTGATGCAGAAGATGCTTGAAGAGTTTCTACACCAGTTTAACGTACTTCGTCAGGCAAACGAAGCAAGCGTGGCTCAGATCACCTTGCTTCAACAGCAGAATAACACTTTGGAAATGGCAATGGCTCAGTTGGCACCACCGCCACCAGTGGGTGACATAGCAGCACCTCCTAATCAGAATATTCCTTCGATTACCGGACTTCCGCCTGATAGGGCTCCACCTAATGGGGCACGACCCAATGAGGCTCAGCTGAATGAGGTTCAGCAACAACGGAGGGCAAGATCCGAGGCTGCGGCTTCAGATAACGTCCCTCGTCGCACGTAGGATGAGCAAGTTGAATCCAGCCATAAGCTCACGGTGCGGTCCAATGGAATCCCAGATGGTGCGTGTGATACCCTCGGATTTCTGGATGCAGGTTGGCCAGGCCCATGCCCGATTACCCGAGGATATCAAAACAATTAGCAATAATCGAACACAGAATAATTATATCAAAAGAGATAAATAAAATTTGCTGAAATGAAAACTAAAAGAGTAATCCAATATTTGAAAACCTCAGAAAAATAACTCCATTGACAAATAAGATATTTCAGATACAACTGATTCACCACGAACACATATCGTTCTCCAATACAACTCGGGAATCCATTTAGTGGACCCCTAAAATAACCCACTAAATTCAAAAGACGGGAAACAAAACCCAAGTCTACACACAAAATATACTCCTATGTCATCGGTGGAGTGAACAACTGTATCTGCTCAGCACGATCAAGCTCTGCAGCTTGGAACTAACGAACACCTGTAAAGAATAATAGAAGAGTGGGTCAGACCCACGAGCAAGTTCTAATCTAACTACAATTCATACACTGACCCGATACGCAGATACACCGTAAATACCTCACAATATCTATCTAGTCCATACATATATATATATATCCACACTATGGGACATTCACTGAACTACAATAGGGGTCTCAACTTGAATAGAAGGTAACATGCGAAAATGCACCCAAAGGTGGGCATGAGTACCTAGACCTAACAGGGTACACCTCAACCTACTATAACTAGCTACGCATCCATTGCATATATGCGTCCTAACCAACGAGTCTGAGACTCAAGCTCATCCCGTGGTATCATAACCATATATTTAAAGTCCATTCAAATCCATCCATAGGAACTCCAATAAATCGTTTAGCTTATTCAGCTGCACAGACTTATATAAGAGATCCAGTAAGTCGTTCAGTTTATTCAACTGCACAGACTTAAATATAAGGAGAATTATGTTTTTATAATTCGTACCCTTCTTCCCAAAATAAGTAGGACTGAGTATTTTGAATCAGTCTGTCCCTAGTATGTCACCGTCCCATACCGATACATACAATCCACAAAATCCATATAATTGATAGAACAGGCAAAGCTGTTCACCAATTAAAATCCATAAGGTAGGAATTAACATTTTGAGCTAAACCATACCTACTATGCCACCGTCCCATACCGGTGCATACAATCCTCCATATCCATGTAAATTACCACATTCAAATGATAAGCAAGTAATTTACAATGCAAAACCAAACCCAGATAATTGACAGAATTTTAATGTGAGAATTCAGCAATTAAAACCCAAAACATAATTCCAAATAATTGGCCAAATTTAATATAAGAATTCAGCAATTATAATCCAATATATGATTCCAAATAATTGACCGAATTAAGTATAAGAATTCAACAATTATGTTCCAATACATAATTCTAGGTAAATTACAAGGCATAAATAATAAGCATGTAATTTATAGTCCAAAACCAACCATCCATATCATTGCAGAATAGTATTTAGTATTTCAACAACTTAAAACCAAAACCATGTAAATTACAGACTATGAATGATAGTACAGCAATTTAAAATCCAAAACCAATATCCAATTAATTACAAAAGATTTTTAAATGTTTCAGCAATTTAAAACCAAACAATTAACCATACAGTTGTAGGAGATGATTTAATAAATCAACAACTAACATCCAGAGCCTGCATAGATCATATCTAACACATCAATGACCCTATAATATATTTAAAACCATTTTATAAATATATTAAATCCCACTGGAATGCCTAAAAATAAGCTTAAGTATTTAAAACTTCATCTATCCACTAACCGTATACAATGTACATAAGTGTTATATAGTTTGATCCGTTAATTTAGAATTAACCTTAAATCAATTTAGGGTCTTAATAACACCCAAAAAATTAACTATTTAATCCCTCCGTGAAGTCTCATTAAATTTCTAAAATTTAATCAAGCCATTTAGTTCCTTTCTTCTGTTAGTAGCATACACCGTTGTATATTTTTACACTGCTACATCCTTTGTCTTAGAGACTTAAACTATACAACAATAAGTTTAATAACACTTAGAATTAACTACTTAGATCCTCTGTTAAGTCCCTACAGTTCATTAGAATCACTCAAAAGCTAAAACAGTGCTCAAAACACCAAACAGAGCCCTAGAAAACACTTTCTGGACGTAAAACAAATTGGAGCCGGCTCTTGGAATGGAAGAGCCGGCTCTTCCCCTATTGGAGCCGGCTCTAATTCCCTAGGAGCCGGCTCTTGCTGAAGGGGAGCCGGCTCTTGACTTTCTAGAGCCGGCTCTTTCCCTCTTGAGAGCCGTCTGTCCGTCTGTGACTTCTGCGACCTTCTTCTTCAACGCCGGCCGCTTCCCACCTGTTCTATTTAGTTTTAGACTGTTCCCAAGGGTCCTAACTATGTCCAGTATAATCCCCATGGAGTGTTTACAACAGTTGAAATCAAAAACAAAAACTACAAGCTCCATCGACAAATCATGCTTAGGAAAAACAACTACTGTAATGAACTTTCAAAAAACCCATTACCGAATTTATTCAAGGCAAAGATAAGGTTAAATTGACATATAAAAACATGCTTAATTCAATTATTGATCCATTAAAACCCTAGAGTATATCTAGGTGCACAGAACACAGGCCAACGGGAAGGAGGAATAAAAGAACTTGCCTTTACAGTTTTGGATTCAAAACCATGTCGCCGTCTCCTAAGCTTTCCGACGATGTCCGAGTACTGTCAACTCCACCCTCTACTGCTCAGCCTTCCTTTCCCCTAAGTTCAAACCCTAAACCGCAACCAAAACCCTCACCTAGGTTATTTTGTTTTCCTCAAACCCTCTCTCTGTTTGCACTCTACAACTCTCTGTATTTTCACTGTACGTGAATAGGGTTTGAAAATAGGGTTTGTGTTTATTTTTCCAAAAACCCTAAGAAAATATATTGATGTATTTATAGAGGTTTAAGGAAAACCTAAATAGAATTCTGAAATTCTGAAAGGAGCCGGAAAAACTCGTGAGAATAAAACAAAACCCTAAAATTATAATACATATTAAATTAGGATTGATAACACCAGTTTAATTATTAATAAATACTAACAATTAAACTAACCCTACATACAGATATACTCAAATATACATGTATATACTTCCATGGGTAATACTGTACCCATCCCCCTCTTATCCGAATAATCCATGAGACCCAAACGGTTGGTCCATCACTACTATCAAAACCTAACTTCTATTAATCAATAAAACTTAAATTTACAAATAATTCAATTAACATTAATCCAAATAAAAACATATATAAATACATATTCAATTTAAAACAATTTAAACATTAAACAAACAATTAAACATTAATTCAAATAAAAACATATATAAATACCTATTCAATTTAAAACAATTTAAACATTAAACAAACAACACACACATAACTACAATTAAATCAATTAACAAAGTAAAACAATTACACACTTAAATAACTAGTCACATAAAAAAAAATGTAATAAAAATAATTGAAATTCTAATTTTATCCAATTTTATCATTTTTAAAATTAGGGGTATTACATTCTTCCCCCCTAACAAACGGAATTTCGTCTTCGGAATTCACGAAACCTTGAATTATTTTAAAATCCATTTTCGTTCCGTTGTGGACTTTGCCTCTGTGTATCGGCTCTACTTCCGTGAAGAGATTCTACACCTCCCACACCCTTTTACAAACCATTGTGGCATTACAGTGGTCTTTATCTACCACAACCCCATGAACACAATCATAATGATATCCACCAATCCTAGGGTGTTGTAAAAATGAATCCCTATCTAGTGTGAAGCATTTCAAACTAATCATTTTAAGATAGCTGACACATATTGAGAGTTCAACTATCCCATCCTATGTAACATACTATCCTGTTACACGTCCAAGTCCAAAAGATTGGCTAGACTCCTAGATATCTACCAAATCCTATGACACTATATCCACAAATCCTAACGCATATAGCACTATTACTCCTGGTTATTACAATAATAGTTGGCTGATATACTTGTGCCCCTACCAAATCCTATTCCAAATCCTGAGCCAATTAACAGAAATGAAACACATAACTATCAAAGATAAAATAGGTAGCAACAAATTGCAACACACAATAACAAAATCAACCACATAGATACACACAATGCAACAAAACAACCAAAATACAATTCCTAATTAAAACATCCTCCATTCCAGAGAAGAAACCTCCTTTGAACTGAAGTTCGCAAAAGTTCGTTCCACAGTTTCGTTGGTAATTATCCAACTTTGAAACTTATTCATTAACCGTAGCTTAACTGCACAATCGTGTGCTTAAGAAAAAATCCAATGGCTTAACCCTCATCCACCTAATACGCAAACCGTCTATCGTGGCTTTATAAAGCAACTTAGCACGTTACATCCTAATTCCTATACGCTCTAGAATGTGATATAAATCACGTCTTTGTTCTGACAAGAACTCCATCCGATTCCCAAACTCTTAAAGAGTACTTTTCAATTAACTCCTTAAGACATGATACACAAATTCATCCATATGTAGATTGGTTCACACCAACTCTACCAGAGTATCATTCACTATACTACTGGTGAATGAAAACACACTTGTGCGATTCGTCATCCTCAAATTTCTGTATCCCTTTTCTTGGATACGCCGAAATTTCCTTCCTTAGGATCCTCTTCAGAATCCTACTCTTCGCTTCTCTCCTCTTTGAACACAACTGAAATTGTGTTGGTCCCGATAAATGGTGACCTACCACCTACACCTTAATCCTTCCTTGGCATATACTTTCTAAGCAAAGCTAATCTTGGAACTAAGCCTTCAATCCTAAGTTCTGTTTCTTGCAAAGAAATCGACAACATACTCCTTTACTCCGTTAGGTCCGTATTGCTTTCGTCGTGGACCCCATCCTTATCCTAGTGTCAACCATGCCATAACTATGGAATATAATCGACATCCGTTCCTCCTAACGAACCGTAAGTAGAGTATAACCAATCCTAATATGGCTCTAAATTTTAAGAGACGCAACGAGGAAGTCCTATAATGAAAACACTCCTAAGGACACTAGAACCTGGAGTGCTCAGATACCAACTCTGATACCCCCGGATTTCTGGATGCGGGTTGGCCAGGCCCACGCCAGATTACCCGAGGATATCAAAACAATTAGCAATAATCGAACACAGAATAATTATATCAAAAGAGATAAATAAAATTTGCTGAAATGAAAACTAAAAGAGTAATCCAATATTTGAAAACCTCAAAAAATAACTCCATTGATAAATAAGATATTTCAGATACAACTGATTCACCACGAACACATAACGTTCTCCAATACAACTCGGGAATCCATCTAGTGGACCCCTAAAATAGCCCACTGAACTCAAAAGACGGGAAACAAAACCCAAGTCTACACACAAAATATACTCCTATGTCATCGGTGGAGTGGACAACTGTATCTGCTCAGCACGATCAAGCTCTGCAGCCTGGAACTAACGAACACCTGTAAAGAATAATAGAAGAGTGGGTCAGACCCACGAGCAAGTTCTAATCTAACTACAGTCCATACAGTGATCCGATACGCAGATACACCGTAGATACAACACAATATCTATCTAGTCCATACATATTTATATATCCACACTATGGGACATTCACTGAACTACAATAAGGGTCTCAACCTGAATAGAAGGTAACATGTGAAAACGCACCCAAAAGTGGGCATGAGTACCTAGACCTAACAGGGTACACCTCAACCTACTATAGCTAGCTACGCGTCCACTGCATATACGCGTCCTAACCAACGAGTCTGAGACTCAAGCTCATCTCGTGGTATCATAACCATATATTTAAAGTCCATTCAAATCCATCCATAGGAACTCCAATAAATCGTTTAGCTTATTCAGCTGCACAGACTTATATAAGAGATCCAGTAAGTCGTTCAGTTTATTCAACTGCACAGACTTAAATATAAAGAGAATTATGTTTTTATAATTCATACCCTTCTTCCCAAAATAGGTAGGACTGAGTATTTTGAATCAGTCTGTCCCTAGTATGTCACCGTCCCATACCGATACATACAATCCACAAAATCCATATAATTGATAGAACAGGCAAAGCTGTTCACCAATTAAAATCCATAAGGTAGGAATTAACATTTTGAGCTAAACCATACCTACTATGCCACCGTCCCATACCGGTGCATACAATCCTCCATATCCATGTAAATTACCACATTCAAATGATAAGCAAGTAATTTACAATGCAAAACCAAACCCAGATAATTGACAGAATTTTAATGTGAGAATTCAGCAATTAAAACCCAAAACATAATTCCAAATAATTGGCCAAATTTAATATAAGAATTCAGCAATTATAATCCAATATATGATTCCAAATAATTGACCGAATTAAGTATAAGAATTCAGCAATTATGTTCCAATACATAATTCTAGGTAAATTACAAGGCATAAATAATAAGCACGTAATTTATAGTCCAAAACCAACCATCCATATCATTGCAGAATAGTATTTAGTATTTCAACAACTTAAAACCAAAACCATGTAAATTACAGACTATGAATGATAGTACAGCAATTTAAAATCAAAAACCAATATCCAATTAATTACAGAAGATTTTTAAATGTTTCAGCAATTTAAAACCAAACAATTAACCATACAGTTACAAGAGATGATTTAATAAATCAACAACTAACATCCAGAGTCTGCATAGATCACATCTAACACATCAATGACCCTATAATATATTTAAAACCATTTTATAAATATATTAAATCCTACTAGAATGCCTAAAAATAAGCTTAAGTATTTAAAACTTCATCTATCCACTAACCGTATACAATGTACATAAGTGTTATACAGTTTGATCCGTTAATTTAGAATTAACCTTAAATCAATTTAGGGTCTTAATAACACCCAAAAAATTAACTATTTAATCCCTCCGTGAAGTCTCATTAAATTTCTAAAATTTAATCAAGCCATTTAGTTCCTTTCTTCTGTTAGTAGCATATACCGTTGTATATTTTTACACTGCTACATCCTTTGTCTTAGAGACTTAAACTATGCAACAATAAGTTTAATAACACTTAGAATTAACTACTTAGATCCTCTGTTAAGTCCCTACAGTTCATTAGAATCACTCAAAAGCTCAAACAGTGCTCAAAACACCAAACAGACCCCTTGAAAACACTTTCTGGACGTAAAACAAATTGGAGCCGGCTCTTGGAATGGAAGAGCCAGCTCTTCCCCTATTGGAGCCGGCTCCAATTCCCTAGGAGCCGGCTCTTGCTGAAGGGGAGCCGGCTCTCTCCCTCTTGAGAGCCGTCTGTCCGTCTGTGACTTCTGCGACCTTCTTCTTCAACGCCAGCCACTTCCCACCCGTTCTATTTAGTTTTAGACTGTTCCCAAGGGTCCTAACTATGTCCAGTATAATCCCCATGGAGTGTTTACAACAGTTGAAATCAAAAACAAAAAATACAAGCTCCACCGACAAATCATGCTTAGGAAAAACAACTACTGCAATGAACTTTCAAAAAACCCATCACCGAATTTATTCAAGGCAAAGATAAGGTTAAATTAACATATAAAAACATGCTTAATTCAATTATTGATCCATTAAAACCCTAGAGTATATCTAGGTGCACAGAACACAGACCAACGGGAAGGAGGAAGAAAAGAACTTGCCTTTACAGTTTTAGATTCAAAACCATGTCGCCGTCTCCTAAGCTTTCCGACGATGTCCGAGTACTGTCAACTCCACCCTCTACTGCTCAGCCTTCCTTTCCCCTAAGTTCAAACCCTAAACCGCAACCAAAACCCTCAACTAGGTTACTCTGTTTTCCTCAAACCCTCTCTCTGTTTGCACTCTACAACTCTCTGTATTTTCACTGTACGTGAATAGGGTTTGAAAATAGGGTTTGTGTTTATTTTTCCAAAAACCCTAAGAAAATATATTGATGTATTTATAGAGGTTTAAGGAAAACCTAAATAGAATTCTGAAATTCTGAAAGGAGCCGAAAAAACTCGTGAGAATAAAACAAAACCCTAAAATTATAATACATATTAAATTAGGATTGATAACACTAGTTTAATTATTAATAAATACTAACAATTATACTAACCCTATATACGGATATACTCAAATATGCATGTATATACTTGCATGGGTAATACTGTACCCATCCCCCTCTTATCCGAATAATCCATGAGACCCAAACGGTTAGTCCATCACTACTATCCAAACCCAACTTCCATTAATCAATAAAACTTAAATTTACAAATAATTCAATTAACATTAATCCAAATAAAGACATATATAAATATATTCAATTTAAAACAATTTAAACATTAAACAAATAATTAAACTTTAATTCAAATAAAAACATCTATAAATACATATTCAATTTAAAACAATTTAAACATTAAACAAACAAAGCACACATAACTACAATTAAATCAATTAACAAAGTAAAAGAATTACACACTTAAATAACTAGTCACATAAAAAAAAAAATGTAATAAAAATAATTGAAATTCTAATTTTATCCAATTTTATCCTTTTTAAAATTAGGGGTATTACAGTGCAGGTGTTCAGGATGCCTTTAATGAGAAAAGACTCCTGAAGATTCAGACACTTGCTGAGATGGCTAGAGAACACAAAAATTCCTTGGTAAAAACTCCTTTCACTAATGATGTGTATCTGGTTGAGAGGCCCAAGAAATTTACCATGCCGTCTTTCACCCAGTTTGATGGAACGGGGGATCCTTCTCGGCACCTAGATCAGTACGCTAAAAAAATGGCTTTGGATGATCGTAATGACCCTTGGATGTGCAGGGTTTTTCCTACCAGTTTGACAGGAGCAGAACTAGAGTGGTTTAGGAATAGACCGCATAAGTCCATCCCGGATTACGTAACTCTGTGCACCATGTTCCTAGCACAGTATTGCGGAAATAAGAAGCAAAAGAAGAGCATTGCCAGCCTCTTCACCGTAAGGCAAAAGAGGGGGGAAACATTGCAGGATTTCCTATCAAGATTCAACATGGAAGCCTAAAAAATAGCGGATTGTCATCCCGCAACTGCTATAGAGACATTTAAACTTGCGATGATTCAGGGGACGAAGTTCCACACTTCCTTAGTTAAGTATTATCCTCCCGACATGCAAACTCTCAATGCCAGGGCCCATATCTACATTCGGTTCTAGGAAAATATAGCCCACCGAGCGCAGCACGCCACCCTCGTGACGGTGGAGAACAAGCCTTGAGAAAGAATTCCAACTTTTAAGATTCAGAAAAGCCAACGTTCCTCAATGCCGATCACCCAAGCACCTGAAAAGAGGCAAAGGGTAGAGGAAGGATTTACACCTCTCCGAACTACCTTGGCTAGGCTCTTCCAAGAGAATAAGATGAAGTTCACAACTCCGCAGCCAATAAAGCAACCCCTGGAGCAAAGGGACAAAAGCAAGCATTGCGCTTATCATCGAGATTATGGGCATTCAACCAATGATTGCAGATCCCTCAGGCGACAGGTGGAGAATATGATCGCCAGAGGTGAGTTGGTGGATTACCTTATGACAAAGGAGTATGTAAAGCCCCGCGAGGTCTATCCCCGCAAGGTAGAAGTTACGTAAGTAAAAGTCATTCATGCAATACATGGCAGGTCTGAAGATGATCAAGAGTCAGAGGGGATATCCTCGGTCAATGCTATCGCTTCGGGTAGCATTAGTATTGGATTCGGAGATGGTGACCTATCCAGAGTTCAACTCCCCTACGAGGATCCATTGGTCATCAGTCTTTTAGTGGCCAATTGTATGATCAGGAGGGTTTTGATAGATCCAGGAAGTAGCGCCAACATAATCACAAAGACGGTCTTTGAGCAGTTAGAGATCCCGTCATCATCTATTCGACCTACCTCCAGCCCGTTGATGGGATTCGATGGCACAAGAGTTGATCCCCTTGGAGTAATAGACTTGTCCGTAACTGCGGTGAAGAAGACTCTGAAGGAGAACTTTGTTTTAACAGAGATCCATCCTTCTTATAATCTCATCATGGGAAGAGGTTGGATACACCGGATGAGAGGAGTTCCGTCCACCCTTCACCAGGTGATGCGATGCTTATCTCCAAACGGGAAAGAAGTGATTAATCTATGGGGCGATTAAGTCGCAGCGAAGGAATGCTATATGTTAACACAGGTTGAAGCAAAGAAGGTGTCTACTCAGCAGTAACCAGGTGTGGTTTCCAAAACTATACCCAAATAACAATTACAGAGCCCTCTGCCCAAGTATCTTAAGGTAGAGGAGGAAGAGGAAATTGCGAAGCCCACCGAGGAGACCCTTGAAGCCGTGGAAGTTATCCTCGGCGACCCTCAGAAGGTTACTTATTTAGGCTCTTCCTCCACGTCCGAAGAAAATGAGGCGTTAATTGATGTTATCTGAAGCAATGTAGATGCTTTTGCGTGGGATCACTCGAACATGGTAGGGATCGATCCCTTAGTTTCCTGACATAGTCTAAAGGTGGATCCGGAGTTCAAACCGGTTAAGCAGAAACACCGAAGGTTTGCCCCCGAACGCAATCATATTATAGCTGAAAAAGTGAGCAAGTTGTTGCAAGCAGGTTTCATTCGAGAAGTGCAATATCCGCAGTGGCTGTCAAACTTGGTGGTCGTACAGAAGAAGAATGAAAAGTGGAGGGTTTGTGTAGACTATACCAACCTTAACAAAGCCTGCCCTAAAGATAGCTTCCCTCTGCCCAAGATAGATCAGATGATTGATGTTACCACCGGCTACGAGAGGCTGACATTCCTTAATGCATACTCGGGATAAAATCAAATTCCTATGAACCCCGAAGATGAAGAAAAAATGGCTTTCATTACAGAAAAGGGGACTCATTGTTACAGGGTCATGCCCTTCGGACTGAAGAATGCTGGAGCTACTTATCAACATCTTGTCAACAAGATCTTTGATAATCTGTTATGAAAGATAGTCGAAGCATATATAGATGACATGGTGGTTAAAAATGTGAAGAATGAAGATTATCCGAAGCATCTACAGGAAGTTTTTAATACCTTGAAGAAGTACAACATGAATCTGAATCCATCCAAGTGCTCCTTTACGGTATCATCAGGTCAATTCCTCGGCCACATAGTGAATAAAAGAGGGATAGAGGCAAGTCCGGCTCAGGCTAAGGCCCTCATCCAGAATCAGGAACCAAAAAATCGCAGGGAGGTGTAGGTTCTTACCGGTCGGATCGTAGCCCTTAGCCGATTTGTATCCCGATTGTCAGATAAGTGCAAACCATTCTTCGATGCTATACGATCTAAGAATAAAGATATATGGGGACCTCAGCAGCAAGAGGCCCTCAATCAGTTGAAAGGTTACATGGCCGAACCACCAATTCTATCCGTTCTAAAACCCAGGGAGGTTCTTATTATGTATTTGGCAATTTCTAATATAGCGACAAGTGCAGCATTGATTGGAAAAGAAGGAAAGAGGCAATATCCAGTCTTCTACACAAGTAAGACAATGACGGATGCGGAGACACGATATAGTAAAGCAGAAAAAATCATCTTAGCCTTGGTCTATGCCAAGAGGAAGTTTTGGCATTATTTTGAATCTCACAACATTGTGGTACTCACCAACTATCCTATACGGGGTATACTCTCTAAGCCCGATCTATCTGGGAGAATTACCAAATGGGCTATCGAGCTTAGTTCCTTCGACATAACTTATGAGCCGAAGGTGTCGCAAAAGGGACAAGCCATAGCAAACTTTCTTCTCGAATATGAAGACACTCCCGAAGAGCCGATACACCCTGAACCATAGTGGGAGCTTCGGGTCGATGGCTCCTCGAATCAAACAAGTGCAGGGGTAGGGGTTGTAATGTCAACACCCGAAGGCACCAAGTTGCAGCAATCTATTTGCTTGAAGTTCCCGGCTACGAACAATGAGGCCGAGTACGAGGTGTTATTTACTGGTCTTCGATTGGCCAGCAGCCTCCAGGTACATTGTTTAAAGGTTTTTAGTGACTCACAGCTTGTTATAAATCAAGTGACAGGTCAGTACCATCCCAAAGAGGAAAGAATGAAAGTATATAAAGAAGCTGTAGAGAGCGCTGCACGGGGATTCGATCAAATCGAATTCTGTCAAGTACCTCATGTTGAGAATGCCGCAGCAAATCAATTGGCCACAACAGCGTCATCCTCAAATGAAGATCTGACTCGGATTGTGCCGATTGACGTCCTGGACGAGTCCAACATTAATCCTCAGCAGGAAGTAATGGTGATTCCAGTTGTTCCTTGAGAACCATGCTGGATTGATTGTAATACCCCTAATTTTAAAAGGATAGTCTCGGCATTTATTTATTATTTTTATTGTATTTTTGCATGATTATTATTATTTTTATTTATTGTTTTGATGTAATTATTTACCTATGTGTCATGTGTTTTAAATTGAATTAAGTTATCTTTTATTCTTTAATTGGCATTTTATTGTTTAAGTGTTTTTAATTATTTAATTGGTTATTTAATTGGAATTAATTAGTTAAGTGGATTTAATTCAATTTATTATTTTTTTTCATTTATTTCTGTTTTAAGTTACGGTTAAATTTAGGGTTGCAATTACATAGGTGGCCGACGTAGGTATTTATCTTAGGTCGGTTTATGGGCCGAGATGGGCTCTGGCTTTAAGGTTACATGGATTAGGGTTTAATCACTAAGCCTATAAGTATGTGTGTCACGGTGGTTTAGGGTTTGAGCATAATTAACCGGAATTTCTGTAAAAACAACAGAGACCGTGAGATACAGAGAGAGAGAAACAGAGAGCAGTTGTGGGAAAACAGAGTGAGGCTTAAGAGGATTTGTACAGAAAGGACCAAGGAGGTTGAGTAAGGATTAGAGACACAGTTATAGGAAGCTTGGCGGCGTTCAGAATTGCAGGAAAACTTAGAGACGACACAGGGATTTCATAATTGAAATCACAGGCAAGTTCTTCTCTTTCTCCTTCCCTTTGGCTCGTGTTCTGTGCACCTAGATAGTCTCTTGGGATTAACTAATTAGTAAATAAAACTTATGTGTTCAATGTATGCTTGTTGATGATTTGTTTGCATTGAATCCAAATCTGTTTATAGTTCGTGTATTGTTGCTTCCTGTTCTGTTCATTAAAGCATATTAAAAATCTGTTGAGTTTTGGTTATGATTCTTGCCTCTATCTTCTGTAAACAAACCCTAGGGATGTTAATGGGATGTTATAAGTCTCCTAAGATCAGTTTGTGAAGAGAAACAGAGAGGTTGGAATAGAATTATAATTTCAGTTTTGTTCCTAACGCAGGTTAGTTCGGTAGCAAATTTAGTCTCTGTAATTGTTTTTAATTGTTGTTATCAAGCCATTGGGATGCTACTGGGTATTAATATGACACCTAAGTTTGGTTTTAAAAACTAACAGAGGGTTAGGAATAAGCCGGAGAAGGAGCACAAGAGCTGAAACACGCACCGGGGACGAAGGCTCTCACAGGAGGTGAGAGCCGGCTCCATAGAAGTGGGAGCCGGCTCCCACAACAAAGTGGAGCCGGCTCTAGGGAGTCCTAGAGCCAGCTCTAGGCTGGAAAAGAGCCTGCTCCAAGTTCTGGAGCAGGCTCCCTTGGTATTTTTGGTTTATTTTACGATTTTTTTTTAATTTTCTACATACTATGTTCACTGTTGGAGCATGGAGACTGTTGGAATGAATTTGGAACTTTACAGAGGGATCAAGGAATGAATTTTGAGTGTCATTAAGACCCTAAATTGAGTAAAGTTTAATTCTAAGTTGTCGGGACAAACAGTGTAAAAATTAAGGCACTTAACAAATGGAAGTTGAATTAATTGTTGAATTAAAATTCAGCAATTTGATGAAACATAATGTGTTTATAAAACTTGTTTTAGAATGCATTCAAGTGCATGATAAGGTCATTTAATTATTAATTTTGATCTATGCATGCTTAGGAGGCTAGTTGCTGAATTATTAATTTGTTTACTGCAACTATATGGTTAATGCTTGGATTTAAACTGCTGAAATATTTAAAC